TTCTTGTCCGATGGTAAGGGGAAATTTCGCACTGCCGCTGTCTTGTCTTCTGAGATTTGTATGGTACCAGCTTTAATAATGTACCCTAAAAACTCGACTGTCCTGCTGAGAAATTGGCACTTCGACCACTTTATTTTTAATCCATATGCCCTACAGACCTGCAATACCTCTTTAAACTTCTCTATACCTTCAGCCTCATCTTTAGAAGGAATTATTAAATCATCCATATATGTAACTACTGTTCCTTTCTGGATTAGCGTCCTAAATACAGCGTTTATATACCTACAGAAGACCGCAGGTGAGTTGCAAATACCGAAAGGTACAAAGCGAAATTCGTATTGTCCGTTGCTAGAGATGAATGACATGTACTTCATTGATTGTGGCTCTACAGGCACGTGAAAAAACCCATTGGACAAATCTAGTGTTGTAAAAACTCGACCCCCTTGGAGCCTATCTAAAACATTGTCCCTTAAGATTTTCTGATTCAATCGCCTATAGTCGCAACATAAGCGCTTACTTCCATCTTTCTTAGGGACAACTACAATGGGCGAAGCATAATTAGAGCTACTGGGCTGAATTATTCCTTCTTGTAACCACTCCTCTATTTGCTTATCAACAAATCGTCGATCGTCAAAGGGCATACGTCGCGGACGTTGATATACAGGTATTTCGTCTGATAATACTATTTGCATTTTTACTGGCGATGGACAATTCCCTGCAGGTGCGTATGCGCTAACTAAACTTTCTACCGCTTTAGCAAAACTCTTTCCTAAATACTCCAAATTCAGTGTAGGCTTATCCTTCATTTCTGTTAAATTCATGACATCGAACTCTTGAATCCACCCTTGTTTGTCCTCCGACTTTTCTAAACTAACTTCCTTACTATCGAGTTTAAACTCTTCAGCATCCGCTGTTGCTTGACTGTCTTTAAATATTGGCTTACCGCCCGAATCTGTTTTCTTAAAAAGAACTTCTTCATCCGTTAATATAATGTCAACATCTTTAAGAATGGCCTTTCCTATCATTCCTGCGAACTGAATGTCCTGTTCTCTGACCACATGGAAAACTATATTTAACGATAAGTTATCTACGTGCATCAAAGTTTCGAAGCTGCCTATTGTTTCAATAACGTTCGCACATGCAGTGTAAAGCTTCTTCTTATCACCACCCAACTTTGTCTCGCACCCGCTCATTAAAAGCGTATCATATCGGATTAAATTAAGTGAACACCCTGAATCTATTAGTGCTTCAAAGCTAAAGTCATTTATTTTAACGGTCTTAAAATGCAACTCACTTTTCACACTATTCAAAAACGGTTGAAAGGTCTCATCTGTCAATGTGTTGACTGAACTCGGTTCTTTTTTTGTTTCTTTGGGTCCCTTGCCCTTGCATTCGAAAGAGCGATGACCCATCTCGTTGCACTTAAAACATTTAAACTGCTTTTGTGAACACTGAGCTGCCATATGCGCTTTGTCGCCACACTTAAAACACCTTTTAACCAATTCTGCTTTTGGTTTTACACCTGAGCTGCCTTTATCTTTCGCTGTATCGTTTGATTCTACTTTACCTAGAGCTACATTGGACCTGCGTATCTTTTCATAAATTTTCACTTGTTCTTTTAAATCCTCAACACTCTTTGCTTGATACAACACAGTCTTGTTAAATTTAGAATCGGGAATTCCCTCTATGAAATAATCGATAATGCTTGCCTCTTCCAAATTAATCTGTTTGCCAATCTCAACAATATTGTACAGGTATTCGCGAAACGTTTCATTTGCGTTCTTACGTCGATTCTTCAATATTTTATGAACTTCCGATGAAGACAATTTACAACAAAATTCGTTAATTAATGCAGTTTTTAACGATACCCAACTGTTAACATTGCTTTGACTTTTAATAAATAGTTTAGCAGCACCGCGCAGAAGCTGCTTACCGTATACAAATTTTTGCAAATCATTCCACTTAACAATAGCTGCGTTCATTTCGAATTCATTAACCCAAAACTTAATATCAACGGATCCTTCTCCAGTGAAGGGACTAATACAATCACCCAAATCTTTGAGGGTGAACTGTTGTTGATGCATAAAGGACCGAGAAGGCAAAAGATTGTTGCTTTCTTCAACATCGTTATATACCGACTGATTGGACTCATTATCACTAGCCTCGTTTCGCGACAAACCGTAGTGCTGGAGTAGTCTGTCTTGAAGCTCACGCTTCTGTCCTGAAGTCGAAATCCCCAACTCCCGTAACTTGTCTTTAAGTCCATTAACCGTCAACGTCATCAACTCGTCTGCGTCCATACTAAATTATTCAGCAAGTACTCTTTACAAAAGTATGATTATAGTTTTATTGCTTACAGACTAGTAATTTTCTTTAAAAGAAATATTGTTTCGATTCTCTTTAAATCAATAAATTATTTGAATTCAAATTAACTTTTACACAAATCAAAAGCAATCTTATTTATCGTACTTCTATTTGCAATACTTCTTATTAGAATTTATTCTCTTTACGCTTTTAGTTCATTTCACATTCTTTGTTTACCTTGTGTTATTTTAAACTCTTATTCTTAACTTCTAGTATTCACTTTCCCTTTATTTCTTATTAGAATTTACTTCCTATTAAAATTCGCTTTATTTGCGTCCGAACTTTATTTTACATTCCTTGTTTATCGTCTGTTTGTTTTCAATTCGTATCCCTATACATCTTATTACAATTTACTTCTTAGTTTTCGATTTCACAACTTTACTGCATTCGCATT